GTGACCGTGTGACCATTGGTCACAGGCAATCAAAGTTGAAACATTTTTCTCACAGAAACTTTTCAACCATGAATAAATATTTGAACGGTTTTATAAACTTTGCAAGAACTTAGGCAGTTGTGAAGCAATTAAAATAAATGCTCTCAAAAAATTACATTTATTACATTGAGAAAGATCCAAACTATTTTTATAATAGAAATAATGTGCTGGAGGAGCTCAAGGGGATCAGCTTCCTGGGCAAAAAGTGGCAAATTAGGTCAATTTTGCTTGTCATTACGATCCCTACTGTTGCGAGTGTTTGAGATATTTTTCAAATGCAGGTTACAGGGCCGCCGGAGCCTGGGGGGCCAGGGGGACAGGCCCCCCTGTTTGCAAAAAGTACAAAAAGTGCCCCTTTTCGATAAATAAATTGCGTGTTTTTTTCAATGCCAGATATTCTGCCTTAAGAAACTAAGTAAAATAACTCTGGGCGTTGTTGGCGGACCATTCACTGAATTTTCCTTGAATTTTTTCTTGGTCTTGATGCAAAAAACTCAAGCTCCTGTGATAAATGACATCAACTGTGAAGGAGACTGCCGTTTTCAAGCCCCCGGCGGGCACAGTCAGTTGGTGCAATGTATATCGTGTGTGTTCCTGAAGGAAGAAACTGGACCCCTATCTCTGTTTCTGGGTAAAGTAAAATGTACCCTATTCTGCCACTTTGCCAAAAATTGTGAAACTCTTTTCACTGAGTTTTTTAAAGCTTAAGCAGGAATTTTTTATACCAATTCATGTTAGAACCATTCCTTTTCTTAAACTTATGTCTAGGCAAGTTTAAAAGCAGAGCTCACTAAATTTGATTTTAACAACAATCCCTTATGATTCTTAATACATATTAACAAAATCAGACAGCTGTAAAGCTATAACTGCAACATATTGCTTACTCTACAAAATTGTGTTAGATGTTTTTATGAAAACATGAGAAAGTTGTGTCCCTGCAACGAGTAAATGCTAGCAGTAAAGGGTTTTTAAACAAAGACTTCTTTTATTATCTAGGATTGAAAATTTCTTATCTAGGATTAGAACAACATACAAGACTAGATGCTGAATTTATTATACTTCAATATAATTCCTGCCCTTTTGTGTTTTCTCTGACTGATTAAAAAAGCAATCCTATTTTCAAGATTCGATGTCCCAGAATTCTAGTTTACAGACCACACTTTCTCAGAGTTTTTTGGAACTCACATGTAATACGTTTGACCAACTGATTGAGCCCACCGGGATCAAGTCTAAGGAGATTTGAAAACTTGTTTCGTTCATAAGACTGATGAGATAAACCTAATCAATGTTGCAAATTGAATTTTCTGTGGCAGTAAAAAATGTATCCGCACCTTCAGCCGATTGCGTAAAGATCACTTAAACATAAAAATTTGTAGCTTTTAAAAAATATTCCGTAGAGGCGAATAAATTTATGTGTTTAAGTGGCGATGGGAAGGCGTGAATACCAAGAGGGGCTAGATTGTATATAAAAGTAAATAAATTAAAATCATTATTGGAATGGGCTTTCGATAATCAAAGAGACTGAAACTTTGCTTTGAAAGGAAGAGGGACTGGAATTGGCTTTGAAGTATTTCAAAAATTTCATTCAGTTCATAATTTTGATTGGATTGGTTGGTATTTGTTAAGTATAGTTCGCCTGCCACAAGTATTAAAGAATGATGTGTGCCTGCTTCTTACCTGGGGCCAAATTCACCTACAATGAATATTATAAGGAAAACAAGTACAGCTTATTGTAATAAAGGTATAAATCATAGAAAGAAGAAGATTTAAACTCTAAAAAAACTTGAAGGCCATGAGATGGGAAGCTATACAAATAATTATGATCAAGAATCCGTGGTCCCTAAATGGAGTAAATAGCCATGTCTGCTTTCAGCGAAGATAGTTCTCACTATGTCCTGCATGTGTCATTATTTTTATTAAATTCTAAATTACCATGAAATCTGTACCATTTTTGGTACTTACCAATGTTTCGGAAAAATATATTCGTGCTCTTTTTTTCGTTTTGCCCCCCCCCCCCCTGTTCAAACCTGCGTCCGGTGGCCCTGGGTTATGCAGAAAGTGCTATACAGAGAGAACCAACCACCCGCATCATATGTATTTTTGCAAGATTTTGCTGCTCGCAGCTCACTCACAAGAGTATAAAGAAATCTCTTTTGTAAATAATTGAAGTTTTTGGAATCAATCTTTCATAAAATCGCTTCATTCATCAAGACGTAGGAATTGCCATTTTATTGTTCACTCATTATTGCACGAATGAATTGCCTACCCTTTGAGAGAGTTTTGATAATAATGTTCATTATATGTAGGGCCACTGAGAGGGGTGAAAAGGGGGCAAATTGCTCCAAGGCCGTCATAAAGTATTGAATTCCATTGTTGGAATGTAATTAATCAAAAGTAGCAAAAGTAAAATGTTTAAAACGATTCTCTGCTACTGTGATTATTAATATGGCAAAAAACTTCTGCAAAAATCTAAAATTTTTATATTTATTTATGATTACTTCTTGTCTTCAAGAACATAATTATCTTGCATTGTTGAGGTTTTCAAACCACAACTTCCAGACCTTCTTCACAGGAAATTTTCTTCAAAAGATTTCCGGTCACAAGAAGTCTTTAAAAATATAACACTCTGCTTGGGACCGTACATAAGAATGTGAGTGGAAACTTGAAAAGGCTTGATTAGGGGAAGGGGCAAAAGAAATAATGAAGTGATGCAGTGTATCAAACATGATTTGTGGTAGCAGCGTATGGCAAAAAAGGTGAAAAAAAGTTCATGGAGAGTAGGACTGCCAATTTTTGGTGATGTGCAAGGAACATATTTGGCTATAAGACATTTTTTACTGTTTGTTCTAACTTGTCAAATCATGTCCGATGTTATTATTATGTTGATTTTTTCACAGTGGTTATGATAATATATTCACTGGATGTTCTTGTGACTTCCAAAGATCAAGTCATTACCCAAAGACTTAGATTTTTAGAACTTTTCTCGGAATTCTTGCGGTGCCGAGCAAAGGAGATTTTTGAATCGCTTAATTCTTTGTTGACACTGAAATTTCGTTCAGGTAGCCATTTAGACATTTGGACACCGTCAGAAGAGCACCAACTACGATCAAAACAATTTTTGATTTGACTTTCCAGAGCTTTTGCAATTCTCTCCTTAAATCACAGTACTTTTCAATCCTCTCAACTTCTTTATGTGGAACTCTTGCAACACCTGGAATTGCGACATCAATAACGTAGCAGCTCTTATTACTCTTGTCGTTGATTACAATGCCTTGTCTTCTTGCTTGAATTCCGTTATCGGTCTATATGTTGAAGTCCCGCAATATCTTTACATTTTCTTTCTCCACAGCTCCTTCAGGCTGGTGCTCATACCATTCTTGAGTCGTCTGTAGGTCATGCATTCATCATAAGTCCCAGTACAGTGCAAGCGCCACACAGTCATGGTCGTCTTTTTCACTATCTCTGAGCAAACTTTGAGCACCCACTGACAACATGATAAACCGTCTCATCTACCTGTTTACAAACTCTAAATGATGGATAGGAAGTGTTTTTGTCAATCTTCGCTTTCACTACATTTGTCCTTAATGTTTGAATTTGTGTAGCCATGATAAGGCCTTCCATCTTCCGTCTTCATTAATTTTATTATTATTATTATTATTGTTATTTTTCATCATCATTACTCTCTGTCCATTGATCATCAACAAAAGCGCTATCTCCAAACTTACAAGCATCTCCATTCGCACCACATACTATATATTTTGCTGTAGAAACAAAACTTGGACTAAACCAGAGCTACTCCCCTTTTAAATTTTTTTTTCTTTTCTCATTACTACGATTGTAATAGCTTTATTTTGTAAAAACAGGCTAGCCAGTTACAAATTACCTTGTAATAGTGAGATTTGTAATTATAGTTTTAACTGGAATTGAAAATAAAAAGTTTTCTTCATTGTTATTATTATTATGATAATAACTATAATAATGATAATATAATTGCTAAATATAATCCACAAAGGTTATGAATAAGGGCCCTGTTATAACATATACAATCTTAGAAAATCCTAAAATTCCAACGGAGTTACTTACAATTAACATCTTGAAATTAAAGCTTAAAAAATTGTTCTCTACTTTGCGATCCCTCTTACGATAAAAAGTTTTCTCTCAGCTTGCATTTAAAAACCACAATCGATTTCAGAGAACGTATGTCTATTGGAAGTTCGTTAAAAAGTAAAGAAATCTTCATTGCTGTTTTTTTTATTGTCTTCCAATTCAGAAAAGCTTCAAGCATTTTTAAGACACTAGACCAGTCTTACATGAACTGGTACTTAAATCTAAAGAACTATTTTGCCATAAACGCTTTTCAAATGGTCCTCCATTCGGCCTCGGATTATCATGACACATCTATGTCAATTTGAATGTCACAACATCTCTGGAAAAATTTTAGACAATCAAAAAGATTATAAAATTTTACACCCAAAACAGAAAAGTTAATTTTATGCACAAATTGTGCACTGAGAAAAGCTCTGTAAATGAAACTGTTGAGATTTGGGGCTGGCTTAGGGGCATAAGAGTTCTAAATGAATTCTCTATGAGTTCTCTAACCAAAAATCTTGAATGTTTGGCTACAATATAAAAAATTGCAACATAATGACGACCCTGTTTCAATTGTTATGCTATAGTTGTAGTCCATAGATTAACAAGGAACTGTTTGCATTTTATAGCGTTGACCGAAACCCCTGGAGCTTCACTTGTTTAAACATAATTCTTTTAAACTATGCAAAATCCAGGTTTCTGTTGACGGGGGCTTGTCCTTGCCTCACAAAATTCCTAATCAAACAACTGATCGGGCAAATAATTGTTTTCTTCCTCCGTGCATTTGCACATAATGAAGGGAACAGGTGCGTTATTGTTGAGGATAGGAGCGTTGCTGTTCCTAGACAACCCTTTATTGAATACATCTGGTCAGTACTGCTTATTTGAATTGCAAAGTAGCCGCTAAAAGCAGAGCTTCGCGAAAGTGAGCACCGATTGGTTGATAGCCACAAAGTACTTGCCAACTAGATAATCACTAGATGGAAAACTGAAATCGTGCTCGCCACTTTTTGCCTGTACTGAAGAACGGAGAACCTAGCCACAAACCAAATTTGCTCACCTCGTATGGAAGAAATTAATCAATTTAACGTTTAAGCGTGGTATAAAAATGATGATTTGATTCTTAAGAAAAGACTCTATTGGGAAAACAAGGCATGATGCCTAATGGATTTTCTTCTGTATGGAAATATGAGGAATTTCCGCGTTGCACCGTATTACCGTGACGGAAAAGATGCAAGAACCTTGTTGTAAATATCTATCGTTACACCATGAATCTTGAGGTGATCTCAAAGGATCCTCAAAATGATAGCAACGGAGTTAGTCCCAACGGAAACAGTAAACATGTCAGCAATGGGTCGAGATTTTTGCCTGTCAATAACAAACCTAAGAAGGCAAGATTATCGCAGCCAAGACCAAGTGTATGGACGCTTAAGGATGTGCAGAAAGTCTTTCCAAAGGAGGGTGCAACATCACTTTTCATATTTCGCGAGAGAAACTTTATCAGAAAGTATGCAAAATTGGTCGCTGAGTCAAAATATCCTTTCATTATTTTTGAAAAATTTTCATGTGCGTTGTTTCTAGTAGTACAGGTTGACCTTATTTACGTTTATATAGGTGCCTATTGAATGCCTAAGTCACCTGCTATGTGCCATTTAGGCAAAAACTAGCAGGGGATGTTCTGTCTATGTTTTCATAAATATGTTATTGATAATTCTGAATTAGTAGCTTACCATAGTTAAAAATATGATAATATTCAGAGTAGCGTCAATTAATTTCTAGGAGACGTTTTCACTGCAAAATTTCAAAAATTTAGTGAAGTTAAAGATAGAATTTGTAAACATCAATAAGAAATGTCTTTACGGTGCTCCTCAGAACTGAAGAATTGTTCTTTAGAGGAAATTTCACACAGCCACTGCACTGTTTCCCTCTCTTCTCATTATCATTTGCCAACTCTAAGATGGACGCCTCCACTATGGTCCTATCTCGAAGATGTTTTTCGCTGCTGTTGCTTTCTTTATATAGAACTGAATCGAACATTTATGATTGCGCACGAAGCTCTCATTTTTAATCTAGAAAAATAAATTTCTTGATATTCCATTTATCAAAGGCTAGAGGTTTGAAAATATAGACAAAAGGTTTCAAAAGCTGTCCAACTATTCAATTGATAAAAGTGAGATAAAACGATTGCTGCGTGTAACTACCAAAATACCTGCTAGAATCTTTTGCAGCTTATCAAATTGATTCGATTGGTGATGTTTATTATTTATTCCCGAACAATTTTGACCCGTTTACCGCAAGAAAACTAGAAAATATGTTTATATTTTGCTTTCAGTTCAGAAATCAGGAATTTTAATGGGGGAAATGATTAATTATCGCAGGAATTATTTATAGATTTGCGGCTAAGACATTCGAAAATCATGACTAAAACCAAACAAAACCCGTTCTTAGAATGCAGCTTTAGAATGGATATTATTTTTACAGAGTACGCTAGCAAAGCGATGTTTTCAACCATATGTATCATCTTACTGAAGCAAATCTCCATCTGTTAACCAGTATATTAGCAAGAAACATAACAAATACGGTTGTTAGACCTATGAGATTTTAACTTGAACATGCAACTGCAGCCGTCGAGCGTCTAACTAAAATATTTTTCTCTACTTTTGTAAAAGAACTGCATAACCTGGTTCCATCTTCAATCAAATCGTGCAGTACCAGCTTAAAATACTGAGATTTTGTAGCTTATGCATGGCTGCAGCATGTTCAAAGACTGCATCGACAATCTGTTCTTTCTCCGCATTTATTTTTTGTCCTTGATGTCAAGTCAACAAAAACATCAGGAAGCAATTTTGAATCGTGGTCACAATACTCCTTCATTCTTTCGCATTCACTTTTTCTATTTTTTCCAATAATATTTGCAAATTTCAGTTGTTGTATGCGAATCCTGTGGCACTTTTTTATTCTAAGGCTAACACTTTAGAATAATTCAATTCTTACTTCCGTCTTTTAGATAATAGTTGTAGTGAATGGGCAATGCTTCTTTCAATAATAAGCCCATGACCAGTCACAAAATTAAAGTTTTCCACCAGCAAAATGGTCCAAATAAATTTTAGAGTGATCAATCACGAATGTTGTACTAGCTAACTTTGCATATTTGTTGAATCAAATAAAGGATTAGAAAAATATGGATCTGGAAAGAGCGTGAAAACATTGCAGACTAACACCATAATAGAAATTATTTGTTTGAAGGTCAACCTGTCACTCTGCCTTTTTGGTTTGCGAACAAAGTTACCTGTGCTTGTCACTTTTGCTTGTCACTTTTGCTTGCTGCATTCTAAGGAAAGACCTTTAATAAGATTTTGGTTGTTCAAACATTTTATCCTCTCAAAAGTCTCATTCTTTATAAACACAGCATTCTCTATTAGGCACTCAGCGTTTGTTTAGCCAATAACGTTAGGCGAAGGAATCTCGTGACAGGTGCAATTTACTTGCTTTAAGTGTGAGGGCTTGAAACTGGCTTTGCAGTCTTTCACCAAATCATAATAATCGTGTGGTAATAGAATCAATCGCTCTGACCAATTCTCAACCTCATGTTTTGGTTTCATTCTTTAGGTTTCATTAAAGATGACATTCTTTAGCTTTGCCATGTAATGCCTGTTTAACAATGGATCAATCATGTCTGCCAGATTCTTTTGGCCATAGAAGGTTTTGCCTCGCTTTGTATCTTACTTTGGATAGAAAGTAGTGCAGAATGAAAAAAAGAATGAATTGTGTTCTTCAATAAAAAATATCATGAACTAAATGCTATTTCAAGGGGTTCATCCTGTGTCTATCAGCATCTGCCGAATATTCACAGCCAGATTAACAGAACTTCTTTGGCTCTTTTTCAAACTTTTCAACAAGAGCAAGTGCTTCCTTCTCAGAACTTCTTACAAAACTTATCGAACAGGCAAAACCAAAACCCATTCACTTAATGTTTGTTAGGTATATGATTTTATTATCTTCTTATTTATTTTCGAAAAAAGACCATCTTTTGGTGGTACAAAACTTGAAAATGGCTTTGAAAAAAGCAAAAATTTAGTAAACTAAAGCTTTTCGTCTGACACTCTTCAGAGTTTATAACGTCAGAACATAGATCAAAACTCTAAGCTAGGAAATATATATACCCAGTTGTGGATCGAAATAGGCCAAACAGAAAACACGAGCACATGACTGTTGAGGTTGACCAATCAGTGCCGCTTGCCTATTGAGAATGTTAGCAATGGAGTCCTAAGGTGAAAACGAACTCCTTTTGTCTACACAGTAGCGCTTTGTTCGTGCTTATGTAGATAGATTCCAAAACTGCTAGGTGAAACAACGATCGAGCTGTGCCAATAATCCGAAAGATGTCACCATTATAGTTTTTTGCACTGGGTATATTTATTTTCTAGGATAGAATTTCGATCTATGTTCTGACGTTTTAAACCCTGAAGAGTGTCAGACAAAAAGCTTTAGTTTACTAATGTTTGCTTTTTTCAAAGCCATTTTAAAAAAAGACCCTCGACGTAAAAAATTACAACCATAAATATGGGGTACCTTCAATTTCAGCTTTTATAGCAAGAAACGTCTAAAAAGCAAATTGCTTTCTCTACATTTCTTGATTATCCTTCGTCTTCAGGAATTGTTTGTGCTTCACAACAATTATATACAAACAGTTATAATGTTTTCTGGATCCGACCAAAGAAAACTGGATTTCATAAATGTTAATAATAATCTTTTTTATAATTATCTTAACTACAATTGTTATTTTGAACGCTAGAGGCGCTAGAGTCTCTATTACATTGATTTGGTGGCCTCTTAAACGCACGTTTCAAATTCACTGAAATCATGTTACATTGGACATTTACTGATTGATTCAAATAATTTAACTTAACTATTAAATTAGAGCGCATTGTTAATTTTGAATTGCGGTGGTTCTTTACAAAAAACAAATCTTCAAATCATTCATGGTACTTGAAACCTGGATGAAGCACTGAATGCCGGGGCGAAATATTAGTATTCATTTAATTTAATCTATTTTGAAAGTTTATCTCATAGCGTTGGGTTCTTGTCGCCGTTTTGCTTTGTTTCTGAATTTTATCCTCGTACTTGAAACCTGTTTTATAGATATGTTTCAATACAATTGAGAATTTGCTTGCATCTATTTAGACTGCGCTTTCTGCTGGTTAATGCTAATTTAATATTTATGATCTGTATAAGCAACGTATCATAAATAGCTTCAGGCTCGACCTACCTTCTAACAACACGGGAATCAATTAGGCCTAAAATGGGTATCAATCAAGCCTATTTAGTTGTTAATGAAATAATGAGGTTACCCTCTGCATACTCATGATGACAGTATTGCTTTGAAATGCGCTTAATGAGAATTACTGCTGCCTTTAAGGTTTATTTTAAGCTAAAAAAGTTCAAAATGCTTGTATCGATATTCATAAGGATCTTTGAAGAAACTCTTCTGCTTACAAGGCCTCAGACTCGCTGTATCTCTTTTACGTAGATTGTTTTTGCTAACTTAATATTAAAGAAAAAGCCGACAATGGGAGTCAAAATTAGACGTGAATAAAAGTTAAAATCAATTTGCCTATGTTTGCTTGACATTAAAAAAGTGAGAAAGGAATTGAATGGATGTTATTGTCTGAAGATAAATTCTGGCTAGATGTTATTTTTAAAGCCATAGGTTAGTTTTAACTTAAAGCACAATGTCTTATGGATATATTTTTCTTGCTAAAACTGATCATAGCTTCGTGTAGCTTCATTAAATATTGAAGCTCTCCACGTAAGCCTTATCACAGCTTCACGTACAAATACACCTTTGTTTTAATTTTAGTATCTGTTGGAAGCATGCAACAGATGTTTGTAGCTAGTTTTGGATCACGTGGTGACCGTTTATTTGATCAAATGTTTTCCGTTTGTTTTTCACCTAATTTGCAAAAGTTCTTACACAATCTATAAGGAACCAAAACAGCAACCCACAGTAAGGTTCTAGTTATTCTCGCCTATCTCTTTGTAAAAAAGCTCATTGTTTATTATTGCATCTAGGCCACTGAATTTCTTGAGTTTTCAAGCTGGTAATTTATTGTAAAGATTAGTGTAGTAAAATTGCAATATGTGGGTACATAAAGAGCATCAAAGCTGAAGTTTAAAGGTTAGAGTAAATTTAAAGTAATTTTTGATAGATAAATTGCTTAGGTCAAATAAAAAATGTTTACAAATCGGTATAAAATTGAACGCGAGCGAAATTATTAAATATTATCTTATTAATCAACACTAAGTTTGCAAAACATTCCAGCCATACTTGAATATGAAAATCAGCCCTTACCCAAAAAAATTCATCTGTCAGCGATAGAATTGGTTTCAAGAAAGGGCACTCAAATCAAAACTTTTTGTCTTCTCAGAAAAAAGACAAAACCATTATGATGTTTAAGAAGCTTTGATGTTGTTTAAGAAGATTAATCACGTCTAAATCTGATTTTGAAATATTTCTTAACATATAGGAATTTTTTTCTACCTAGCAAAGATAGAGCTAGCTCTGTTTTTCCAGGGTAAGCAATCGATAGCAATAAACATCTTCTCTTTGGTTATACACATATCGGTTCAAGAGCTACATAACTGCAGCACAAAAATACTGACTAATACTTTTGAATTAGTTTAAAAATTGAATGGAACGGAAAAGCAACTTAGAACCATCTCGCTCTTTACACCAAAAACGTGCACAGCTCTGCCTATACTACGTCAAAAGCTTGATGACACACGGTTAAACAATAACTTCAATTAAAAATGGAATAAGATATTTTAAACTTATTGAATTGTCTTTGCAGAAAAATCCTTAACTCATAATTACAGCTTTCGATTATTTCATCCTGCTCACAATACTCTTCAACTGCATTGTGCTAATTTTTGATGCACCACTGCCGGAAAATGACAAGTCTCAGATGAATGAAGTTGCTGTGAGTTTTTAAATAGATTTCATTTTCTTTTGATGATTTTCATAGCATGTAAAGGCTCCGGATTTTGTTGGGATCCTTGAAAAGTTTTTCTCGAAACTGCATATAGTAGAGATGCATTAATAAAATCAAAAAACATGTTCAACTTGGTAGGATAAATTTGTCCAGTACTACAAATTTTTGTTGAATGAAATGTACAGCAGAAATTGACATGAAAGATTTTCTACGTAGCAAAAGATATCAAACAGGCCTGGTCTTCTGAACGCTTTTTCAACTTTAAACCCTAATGTATTGCATTTTATAAATATAAGAAAATTTATTCAAAGGAAATATGCTACTGATTATCTGCAAAATTGGCACATTGGACTCTAGTATACTCCTGTATTCCCTTTACCTGGAGCAAACAGTCGTGCAAATAGCTGCAAATTCTAATTGATTCTCTAAATTGATCTACAATTCAATACTTTTGATTTATATGGGACTTTCTAAGCAGGAGATAATTTTTTTTTTCTTTCAGGAAAAAATTGAATACTACTTCCTTGTCATTTTCTTATTCGAAGCAATAGTAAAAATTGTCGCCATGGGATTCGTGCTTCATCCGCGAGCATATCTGAGAAGTGGCTGGAACATCTTAGACTTTACTGTAGTTGTTGTTGGGTGAGTTGAATTATTTCATTTTTTCTCTAGTTCTAGTTAGCAAAAACAGAACATCACATTACTTCTTAAGTACAGCGGTGCATGGGATAAATTTACGTAGCTGTACAACTAGCAAAGCATAATTCAGAAAAAATTGAAGTTGCTTACTGTGAAGAGAAGTCAACTTTAATGGAGTCTAGATGAATTTGTCTAGCTTCGTACTTAGTAGTTTAGTAATATTTCTGGTATTGAAGATCTGGCAGATTATTTTGAGCGTCCCCTAGAGCAATCAAGAACATTATTGGCTAACCGAATCAAAATAAAACGTAGTGCAGCAGGCCTATGAATTTTTAGGCCTATGGACAAAACATATTTACATACATGTCATCTTTATTATTAAAACGGTAACTGAACCAGTGGACCATAAAAAACAAGTGTTTATTATTTGTTTCAAGTCAAAACTCGACACAAAACTTAACAGACTAAAAAGATCTTTCTTGAGAACGGCTATCCAGAGGATGTCATTGTTACTTACATTAAAGAAAAAATTTCAACATATTTGTTGTTAATCTGCTTATTGTTCACAATAATAAAAAGACCCTACCGTCCATTCAAAGGAATTGTGCTCTTACCACCAAAAGAGTTCCATTTTCTATGAATTTACGTGCCAATGTGATTCTGTCAGCGTAGGACGCACAACCCAAAGATTGGCGGATAGAATAAAACAGCATGTCCCTTCAAGCATTAGAAACAAAATTCTCCCTCAAAGATAACAACCACCTCGGTTTTGCAGGTCTAAAAGTATATAATAAGCTTACGATTTTGCTATCGGGCAGCATTTAATGGAAAACCCAGATTTTGCAAAAAATTTTAACGGCAAACTTTTGGATTATTTGTATATCTTGATCGTCGTTCCATCTAGCAGTTTTGGAATCTATCTACATAAATATGAAAAAACCGCTATTGTGTAGACAGAGGGAGTTTATTTTCACCTGCATTGGTAACGTTTCAATAGGCACGCGGCACTGATTGGGTAACCTCAACAGTCATGTGCCCGCGTTTCTGATTGGCCTATTTCGATCCACAACTGGGTATAGATATTTCGTAGCGTAGTGTTTTTATCTACTTTCTGACGTTTTATACTCAGAAGAGTGTTGGACAAAAAGCTTAAGTATGTTTTAAAATGCTTGCTTATCAAGGCCATTTTTATATTTTCCTTTTTATTTCATCCCGTACAGAGTGGTTATCCTTATTTTGAGCTCTTCAAAAGACGGAAATGCTAGCAATATAAACATCAAGTCGCTGCGTGCTATCCGCGTACTGAGACCACTAAAACTCATTTCTGGAATACCAAGTAAGCAATTCTGTATTTGCGTATATGTATGTATATATTTATTTTTATTAGCTCTTTCCATATATTTGTTTCCATGCTCTTACATCCGTCTTCCTATTCCATTTGTTGAATCCCATATTCCTTTAATGTTTTTTAGTTCTATCAGCGCCTTTCAATTTTACTTGATAACGGGCTATGCTCGAAATGCCGTTAATTATTTAAAAAAAAAATTCCTGGTAAAATTTACTTGAAATTGATCGTTATTATTTTTTTGTGATGATCTTTAATCAGTAAACGATGAATTGTCAATTTTGTATATTTTTAGAAAACAATGATATATCTTGAAGTAATAAAATCCTTTTCTAATTTTCAGGTCTACAAGTTGTTATGACATCTGTAGTTCGTGCCATGTTTCCTCTAATGCAGGTTTTGTTTCTAATAAGCTGCGTGATTATCATTTTCGCAATCATTGGTCTTGAGTTTCTGATGGGTAGATTTCATTATGCCTGCTTCAATCAAACTTCTAAGACGTGTGAGTATGCTACAAGTAACAATTAGTTTACATTTTGAGCTGTTTTTTTTCAAACATTAAAGCATCAAACATCAAACATTATATTTTTACAATCCAAATTTCACAATATCCTTGAACTAGAATGCTAGCAAAAGCTGAAACAGCAAATCTGAACATATGCTTTTACATTATACTGCTGACATTACTTTGTCCTGAAAATTGCTAATACATCGATTGATATGCATTAATAGAACTGAGCTCAACAATCCTAATGATATCAAGAATATACTTATTAAGGACATTTTATTTAGATCTGGTTCTCAGTACCTTACCTTAAGAAGCAACGCTCATACAGATGTTGACACCAGACCCGTTCAGTATAATCATTCATATAATTCTGTGTAATTGCAAGAAAATGAATGTATGTACTTTGTTAAACACAATTTCGCCGCTAAATGCCTAAAACTATCATGGCTATCGTTGGTTATGTGTATAGTTACAAGATTTCAGTACCAAATTTAGATGTTTGCCTGGTGCGAAGCACAGAACTTTTTTCTGTACGTTAATCCAATTGATGGACGCAGTAATGAAAGCATTTGTAAAATAAAAGGGAGTTGAATCATAAAAGTTGAGAAAACATGATTTCGGTGTCTTTCCAGGTTCCTATTGAATTTTGGCGTTACAGTAAATATTAGTAGGCCACCATATTTTTCAAACCAGTTTACAGATAACAGCTCTCTGCCAAGCCTCTTTCTTTTTGCTACTCTTTTATTTGAATTTAATCACTTGAAATTTCTCCTTAAGATATCTGATTTACTTTAATTTTCAAAATGATCCACTTACCTATCCTAATTTGGTTTCAATGCAGTAATACACATTTTCATTTCAGGCAGGTCCAATTACATCCTTGTCAATTTTTTCACACTAATAAAACTACTTTTTCACACTAAGCTTATATCTTTATCGCCATTGTTTCTGAAGCAATTTTTGAAATGCCAAGATATTTTTTGAAATTTTTTTCAGAATTTGTCTATTCTGCTTAAATGAGCTTTTGCTAACAGAGCTAAAGTATTGCAAGCCTTTAACTACGAAATTCAAATCAATGTCACATTAAATGGTTACCGATAATATACCACAATTCAACTGCAATTTTCCCGCAATGTGCTATGTTATCTGATAAATTATTTGCTGTTGAATTACGACACCAAACTAGACTAATAATTCCAAAACTAAATATTAAATTGGACAAAAATTTATTTCCTGCCTTCGTGATTATCTGTCTAGCCTCTGATTTAGATATTCATATACAGCCCTCAATATTTATTAACTTTTCTACAGGCACCGAAAGTGAGTTGCACTATAAAAGTTGCATTGTCAAGTCATATTCAGAATTTTCAAAGATTTGAGAACACTACTAGCTTTAAACCTCATTCAATGGGGAATAACTTAGTATTTTAACACTTTTTCTTAAAGGGGAAAATCCGAAAACACCATGTGATCCAAACTTAAACAAAACAGTATTTGTTTATGGAAAGCGATGTCCCAAAGGATTTGAATGCAAAAGAGGATGGACCGGTCCAAACTCTGGCATTACGTCATTTGACAACATTTTCTTGTCGATGCTTACAGTTTTCCAGTGTATTACGATGGAAGGCTGGACTGATATCATGTATAATGTAAGTAAAAACTTTCAATTTTGCTATGTTTTATTCAGTGACCTTGCATTGACTCCTATCATTTTCTATTTTTTACATTGGTATAACCAATGCAGGCATTTGATACTGCAAAATCTGAAGTTGCAAAAGAAGCAAACATTTACAATGAAAAAGTACATTTCATCCGATACTTGTCAGATTATAAACTTGTCAGATTGATCTGCAAAATTTGAAATCGTGGTCGGCTTCAATATAGCTTTTCAAACTGCTCGAACTCACGTGACAATATTTCATCTGTCATAAAGAAAATTAATAAGATTTTATCGTAAAATTAAATAAGTTCTTGAATCATGTTTAAATCTTTTGTAAATTTATTACCGTAGTTCTTTTCACAAAACCCACTTTTTGTGGAAAATAAATAACCAAGTTTTTATTCTTTATTTGTATTTTCTGGTCACTTTTTGAATTTGCTTGTTTTCGAGACATTTTAAATGCAAATGACTTCGCAGCACATTTACATCAATTCGCATGCAAATAAACATGAATCTATATACCTCAATTGGTTATTTACAGAATGCATTGCAAGAAATAATTTTCTATTCACTTAGAATCACAACATGCTATTCTTCTTCGCATTGATGTTATATGCTTTTTAAGACATCTAAAAAAAGTACATGAAACTTTTATGTGATGTCCATGGTGAAAGAATACTTGAATAAAGAATGCGTAACGCGTGCGCTTTTCATAATTTCTAAAGGATTATAGAGGATCACATTGAATATCAAATTTGCTGATTTTTCCAGTTGATATTGCCTCTTTCAAATGTCTAAAATAACATATGAGCTCTCATCATTTGTTTTCGGTCAATTTGCGCAAAAACTGCCCCTTGTTCTCAAGTCAATTGCATACAATGATTGGTTTTAGCGAGTATATGCAAAACAGACGTCATATATTTAGCTGCATACCTTGTTTTAGAAACAAGCAGTTAATTCTGTATTTCTTAAAAAAAAGAGTAGTGCTTTTGAGAGCAATAAGTCTATAAAAGAGATTCAAGAACATTTTGGCAAGCAATCAATTATTGTTGAGTTATTCTGTTGTCTGTCGACATAACAGTTTGAAGTAACATTTATCTTCTGGTCGCTCAGATAAGTCTCTAGCTGCTGAAATTTGATATGTCAATCAGTGAGGGAAAACCTCTAAAGTGAAACTGTGACAAAGAAGAAACTAACGCACAGTAAAGAAGCAGCATCTAATGCCCATCAGATATCTTTCACAATTTTGACATTTTTAGGATGCTTTTTGAATTATCAAGGCATTCTTTGACCTTGCGAGTTTTATATCCAAGTTTATCTCACATAAAGTTTTTTATTTGCCTAAAATACTTCTATACTTGAAATTTTTTAAGCTACATATGCCCAAAATATTCGCATGAGAATTTTTTCACTAGCTTATATTTCTGTGTTGCATCATATCAACTATCTGCTCCCCTGGGTCTTTCCCATGAACCAGCCTCTTACCTTTCCAGGCGACTAAGTAAAACAATACTATTCTTTCAAGATTATCTATTTTGCTGCCAGATTAAGAAAGACACTGTTAGGTGAGGAAAATGTGTCGGTGTAACACTGCTGTATTTCTTCCTAATTTGGGAGACAGATAAAACTGTCGCTACCAAGTTACGTTGACTTTTATTGAAGTACATAAATAATGAATCGATGTCAATGCATTATTCAAAGCAAATCGGTTATTTCAATAGCATGAATTGATTTAAACATTACATCGATCGAGAAATCTCAGCAAATTTTTTTCATTGCTCAACGATTTTAACTTAATGATTTTCGAATGAAAAGTACTTCAGTATGATATGATATTGCATTTCTATTCAATTAACAAATCTTTCTTTGATATAGCAGAGAAAACGATTGAAACCAATCAATAATTCCAAAGAATTGAACGTTGGAACATTTGGTTCCAAAAATTCGAGCAGGAATCGTCCTAACAACTGTATTGACTATTGTTTCTCGGCCAGAACGAATTTTTACAATCTTCAAGTGAATTTTTTTGAAATCTTGAAAATGGTCACGACAATATTTTGAAAAGCCTAGACTAAGAATGCTGTTGATAACATACATGGACAACAAAAGGACTTTTCTATTGCTTTGAATATCTTCAAGTTTGGAAACAGCACGCATAGATAAAGACCAATATATTTAATTTCACTTCTTTAATGACACCTTTATTTATAAAGCATCTGAAAAAGTCGCAAAATGAACCCATTTCAAACATAACAAATCAGATTATCACTTCAAGCTGTTCATTTCATTGAAAAAATGATCGAGCACCTTATTTCATTGTGCCAAGTTATTACAACATGATAAGAAACTTCTGACTGTGATAATCTTATTGTTTTCTTTTAATCAGAATAGTAACATTCAAGCTGAATAATAACAACTCTGATGACCGTAAGTGTTTTCGCTAAGCTATGATAGTGAGATGTACAGCATTAAGGCAATAGCATCATGCATTATTTGCACTGTTTTAAGCTAAAGTTTTCAAAAGAATTCGTATTAAAAAAAGCATTATTTGTGTAAAGTTTAGTTGTTCTAATGCGAAGTGTGCTGCGTAAGTTTTAGAAAGCAAAGGAAATGTGGGGGAAATGTATCCTCAAGTACTTTTCATCTAAAAGTGCTCAGAGTAAGTAAAATCGAAGAGAAAATGGCACATTTGTTCCCTTTTTCTGACTAGTCAGCGACAAATAACATCTCACTTATTGGAAGGGTTTCTTTTGGCATGACGGGTGATATTTATATGGGTCCCGAACACTCTTTATGCCGATGATTCCACTTATTACTTTACAGCTTCAAAACTTTGTTTCATAGCTTTTATCTTCTAGTAAAACTGAAAATATCAAAAACAGAAACCATGATCATTAAAACATCCAAAAGACAATCATTTTAATAGCCTTTAAATTTGAAATATAATAGCATCGCTTCATTTCTATTTGATTTCCCTATTTGAATAAAAATATTGTTATGGTTATCACACAGCAAACAGGGTCTCGATGATAACGCTATTCAGCAACACGAATAGAGCATGCCGTGTACTATGCTTTTTGAGAAATGCAAAGGATCGATATACGACTCTTTCCATAAAACAGCAGGAATATATAGTGACAAACCTTTAATAGCCTTTCAAGAACCTTTGATAGTGACAAAATGACACTAATTGGAAAAATTCTTGTTTATTTTGGTATCAACAGTCTCAAAAACAAGGAACTGACGACAGGTCAATTTTCTTATCTCGCCTTTTTTATGCGTATTTGAATAACAATTTATATTTAGCTTTAGCAATAAGGTAAAATTTGTTCACTGGTGAAATTCAGTTGTATACAAGAATCTTAAGTTGAAATGTTTTGTTTTTTTGCGCAAAATAATTTATCTTTAGATAATAATTTATTTTTAATATTAAGGACAGTTTTTAAAGGCCTAGATAATTTTTTAAAGAGCAATATCCCGTTGCCTGCTTAAAAAAAGGAATTATTAAATATGTGAAACTGCGAGACATTCGGTTTATTTAGATGATTATGTAGACCAAACGGGGACTGAATTTCAATTTAATTTCTTCTTAATTTTTTTAAGTTCATCAACACTAAACATGGCCTTTTTTAAGATACTAACTAGGCAGGGGGGGGGGGATGCGATTGCTCCTGCAGTCCCAATGACTTTCTATTGTTTTAAACAGGTTATAGGCTATTTTCTTTCTTCTTAAATAAAATTCCATATGATATTCCTTAAAGATTCAGCATCGTCTTCCTAATCATTGTTTTGTTATTCAATGACCTTTTTGTAACATTTCCTTTAAATTTCTGGTGCTTGTGGCATCTTGGAGCCAAACCAGGTCTAGATTGTCCCAATTCAACTTACTGAAAAGGTTTTCTCTTTCCAAATGCAGCTTTTATTGCTGTTAGCTTCTACACTAGCAGCATATTTTGCATTTTCTTCAATTTCACCTATTCAACTATTAACATGCCAAATTTTTGATGCCATCTTCTTACACATTTGATTATTGATAAAGGAAAATGCAAAAATTCACTTTGATCTTAGAGATGGCAAGCTGCATATAGTCTAGCATCGGTATGTTTCGGTAAAAGAGCCCAATTTTATAAGACGCCTTCTTTGTTCGCAAGAATAATCTTTTTCTCTCTCACAGATATTTTTTATTAATCAAATTGATCATTTCCTTTTCTAGACTTTCTATGCAATCGATGAACATGGATATATGTACAGTTTCTTATTTATAGCGTTAATAGTAATTGGTTCCTTCTTCATGCTAAATCTCTTCCTTGGAGTTCTTAGTGGGTAAGTAAGCTGAAAATTTGATTGAAATTAAATCGTTTTTGCGTAACTTGCTTTAAATTTTTAAGGACATTGTTTAATATTTATAATTTGAAATACCGAATATTTTGCACATTATTGCCTGCAGTATAGTTGACTGTTCAGGGGGGGGGGGGGACCTGCAAGCTGCTTTTTTGACTAACAAATTCATTGCAGCTACAACAGTTGTCTGGATATGTCTTGCAATAATGAAGTGAAAAAGGTTGCGTTGTCTTTATAAATCATTTCAAGCGTCTTAATTTGTTATTATTCCAGTGAATTTGCGAAAGAAAGAGAGAAAGTTGAGAACAGAAGAAGCTTTCTTAAGCTAAGGCAAAGCAAACAGGTGGAAAGACAGTATGATTGCTACATGGAGTGGATTCTTAAAGGGGGTAATTCAGCCTCTTTTCCCTAACTTGGAGCAATAGTTACATTACAGAAATCAATTTGAATGAGTTAGCTGGTCTAGCTGTTACCATTTTCTCTTTGAGCGTATGAAATATCCCAGCAGATAACGATATTGATACACAATTTGTTTTATTCATGCTAGTGTATTTATCTACTTGGCTTGTGACATTCATAAAATTTTGTTTTGCGAAGGGGCGTTGCAGCATTGCCAAAATTTTGCAAGAAGTAATAATTGCAGGTCTTTCTCTAGCGAGTTATTTGTATACTTTACTATGAACCAACTACTTTTTTGAGTTTGAAAGATTGAAGGAAACCACATTCTGAAAAAATACTGATGTTTGCATCATGCTTTTGTTAGGTGACATTAATTAGCTTTCCCTTTTAGCATCATATCTTGTTAATAAGAATAATAGTTATGATGTTTGCTCTATTTTGCATTTCTGGGCTATCTTCAATTTAATCAAAATATTGCATCAATTCTCTCTACCAACTCTAACTATGAATGCACAAGTATCATCCTTCACTTTTCGCATATTGATACGGGCATTTTGTTCAATCATAGAGGAAATATTGGCGCAGGAGGTATCACAGGAGTCAAACAGCTCTCCTAAGGAAAGCACAGAGAAGATCGCTGATGCTGCTCTCAACCCAGCCATTGTATTTACTGCAAATCGCTACACTTTTAATTCTTCAACAAGTCATAGGTATTATGTCTTATCCTTTACTAAGACCTTTAAGATGTTTGGTTGTAATGCCTGTGGGGATAGCAAAGGCATAGAATATTCCAAAAAACAAACAAATACCAACGAATGCAGCAATTGCACCAGTTTTATTAGACAGCACTGCCTCATACCAAAAGACTTTTCAGTAAGGATTCAAAAAGGTAATGGAGAAAAATGGCCCTCGTTCCATGTCGTTAAAATGCTTAATCTTACAGAAGGGTTGAATTATTATTTTCATTAAGCCAAGATATTTTTGTATTTTGCCAAAGCTATAGCATTAAAATGATTTTATAGCAAAATTCTAGCCAAACTCAGTTTTCAAATAATGTCATGGCAGCATCAAAGAATCACTCATTAAAACTCAATAATCACCTAAAAGGGTCAAAACATAATTGGCTTTGTGATATCCTTTTGTAAAAGAAAAAAGCTCATTTTAGTCATGATTCAACGACCCCAATTAAAGTATCAGGAAGACTTTTTTATTCTTGTTGCAGATTTTTCCTAACGACTTTGAAATCAGATTATTATTTCAATCTTTCTTTTCTAGGAAATCCAAATTTGCTAGGATAAAGGAGCAAATGAAAATTTCAAGAATAAAGATACGATATTTTGTTAAGCATGGTGCATTTTATTGGAGTGTTTTGATGATGGTATTCTTAAACACTTGTATTGTCGCTACGAACCATTATGACCAACCAAGGTGGTTAACTGACTTTCAAAGTAAGTTAGAAATATTTTCACTGATGACATGAATAGACGTCACATCATTTTAAGGTTTCCACGGTTACGAAGCTGTTTTCTTTGCTATTTTCCTATGATCTGACAGTTATCGTTTAAATTTTTTTTTTATAGATATCTGGGCTGACATGGCCCTTAATCTAGTTTTACAATTTTATTACAACAAATTTACAAAGATAACGCAACTACAGTTTAAAAACGATATGACTACAGCATTAAATCAGCAATACAAACGTTAAATACATTGATTTTTAGATACTTAAGAAAACAAGTTGTCTAGTAACAATGGAAAACAGAATTTGCTGTATTTCTATGTGATTCTAAACATATGTGAAACAATATCTTTGGAGGTAAAAATACTGAGGGACAAAATCGTACTCTCTTGCATGCTTACAGAATCTCTCGCGCTTTTTAAAAACCTTTCTTTTTCTTGAGAAGCTGAATTACACATACAAATATATTTTATTCGACATTTAATTTTTTCAGGGGTATCTGAAATCTTCTTTGTTACAATATTCACTGCTGAAATGCTGCTAAAACTGTATGGCCTTGGTCCAAAACAGTATTTTCACTCAATGTTCAATGTTTTTGACTGCGTTGTAAGTAGTTATTATTTTTGTAGAAACATAGTACAGATTTGATTGGATATTTGTATTTGTATCATGTTTTGATGTTATCGAATTGTCAATATGAAGAAACTATTGCGTTGTAAATTCTGAAGTGTTACTGTTAACAATCAAGAACTCTAAATGTAAATTTAATATGTTTTTCTAAAAATTATTCTTTTAATTAGTCAATTCTATTATTTGCTCATGAATTATCTGCTTGAAATCTTTTTTTCTTTAGGTTGTAAATTTAAGCATCCTTGAGATAGTTATTGTCAATTTTTCCAACGACTTCGATTTGGGATTAAGTGTCATGAGAAGTTTGCGCCTTCTAAGAATTTTCAAGGTCACAAAGTAAGTTTCTAAGTTTCCTTTTTTGGGCTAGGAATGCCTAGTGTTCTAGTAATCTGAACAGTTTTCTATTTAATATTTTTGAGTTTTTTTTAACTACCTGGAACGGTCTTTTAGTTGTCATGAAAATATTAATATTGATCTAGACAACAGCAATTGAAATTAGAATAAAGCTGTACTTGAACATGCCATTGACTCTTAACGTTCATCAGCAATTGATGAAGCCAACAGAAGGGCTATTGCAACTGCAATATTGATAGAACAAATAATCTCCAAAGCATGAAAATACTAATCATTTTACAAATGGTTACTGTGTTATCAAGGCTATTGCCACAATGCCTCTGTTTGTATACTAGATGCTAGCAAAGATCCCGACAGCGTTTTCATTTTCCTATCGAATACACACTTATTCAATGTACCCGAAAAATTCAAATTCACAGAAATCATTCTCAACCCGCAGTAACCATTTGTAGTATGATATCTATGCTACGAAATCGGAGGCTGATAAGCAAATTCAACATCGTTATCCATAGTTGAAAATCATACATCGCAACTAAATTCAAAGTAACACAATCAGGTCTAGTTTATATAGCTAAGCAACACAATCAAATTGAAATACCTTTTCCACTATATTGCTTTGTACTTATGGCAGCAAAGACCATCTGAAGTTGATCAATTGAGTATTCATTGTTAGAATTTTTATTTTATTGTTTTTGCTATTCATATCATGATTTTTATTGATAGAGACGTACAGTCCTGTTCTTTGTTTTTAACATTACAGGCTACACATTGTATTATAGTTGTCAATTTTCTCTTCTTCAGGTATTGGTCATCGCTTAGAAACCTCATCAGTTCGCTCATGAATGGCATGAAATCAATTCTCAGCTTAATATTTCTACTATTTCTGTTCATCGTCATATCAGCCCTTCTTGGGATGCAGCTATTTGGTGGGAGGTGAGCTTTCTAGATAAAAGGCTGTCATTTACAACATTTAGATCTATTCTTCAACAAAAATTACAACGATGTTAAGATGCTCAATCTTCTATCATAGAGCAATGCAATTATATCTCCTGTAATAAAGAATCGTAACGGCCTGCTAAATGATCGAAAGACAAGATTAGCACAGCTAGATTGATTGCTCATATGAATATCATATCATCTACATTCTTCATTTTATTAAGGAGTGTCACTATTTCATTTTATCTGTTTTCTATCACTTATTCATCTATTTCTTCTGATTCTACTTTTTTTCTATTATAGGTTTGAAAAGTTAGAGGAGTATCCAAGAACTAACTTTGACACATTTGTTGATTCCTTGATGGCAGTCTTTCAGGTTCACATTATATTTTTAGATAGATTTAAAGCATTCTCGTAAATCCTCTTGACGAGACTCTCGCAATAATTTTATATATTTGCAACGTTAAATTAATTTAGCATCTGATAACAGAGCATGTTGCCATGGCTCTCAATGAAGCTCTAGTTGATATTTAGACATGGAAGTTAATTCAAAGCTTATATTTTGTATTTTTGGCATAAGTTACCTAATGCTGTTGAACTAAGTTAACACCTTTAGCATTTTGAACGACACCTACGCCTAACTATTTTCTTATTAAATTGCAAATTTCTACTTATTTTACTTGCAGATCATGACAGGAGAAGACTGGAATGCTGTGATGTACAATGGTGTTAATGCATATGGTGGTCCGAAGAAAACCGAAGGGCTAGTGATGTCTCTCTATTTTGTCCTGTTAGTCATTTTTGGGAATTGTATCCTTGCTGACATAATATTTATCTAATAAGAATTTTTCTTCGCTTTGATGTCTCCTAGTTAATATAGAAGACCATTCGTTGCTAACAAAAAAATTTTGTACCGATTTCTACAGAATAGCAGGTTCCGCTCATGCCTTTTTTAACAAGAATCCAATTTGCCATGCACATTTTGTATCTGAGTTCTTGAATTATGAAATTGTTAATTTCACATTAATTTTGAAATTAAAATCAAATATTTTCATTAAGCATCACGGTGTGAAAGATACTTTTATAAATAGGTATTAGCTTACTCTTTTACCTAAGGAAGAATGGCTATTCAAAGCTTACTTTCCTCGAAATAAAAATCTGCTTTACGTTTCTGTTTAAATTTGGCTTCAATTTGTTTTCCCCCATTTCTTCAGCGACAAAATTCACAACAGCTCACCCTTAAGCTGGCATGTAATTTTAATAAAAAATTATTTAAATTGATGACTTTGGTGGCTCTATTTGGCATGTGATAACTAGATCAAACTTTTTCTGCAAAAATATTTTAGAATTCTTTTCGTTTTATTTGATTTATCAAAATCCTTCAAATTGCATATTTACAATTAACTGCAAACTCAGACACGCTGCTGAACGTCTTTCTTGCTATCGCCGTTGATAATCTAACAAACGCTGAAATCCTGTCACAAGATGAAGAAGATGAGCAGAAATTGTTAACAAGGCAGAGGACTGCCCGTGCTGGATTTACAGGACCAGGCACACATTGGACCAAGTTAAAAGCACTTTCGTTTGTAAGAACGCTTCAAAGGCAGGTAGAAGAGGAAGAAAACCGTGCCAATATGGAAAAATCAGTTTTAGCCAACAACTTGGTTTCTAATGAAGGAGAGAAAGTTGAGAAAGATAACAAAAATATGATGGAGAAAAGAGTGTATGTCTACGTTAAGAATTTAAATATTATCTTTGCAGTTAAAACACATTCTGAATGAATTAAAATACCAGTAGAAAGTGTTTCATGAAAAATTTAGTGATTTTGCTTAAATTCGACTCCACTTTGACAAATGCCACCTCACATCGTTATCGAGGCAGCGTCTTTCCTTGTCTTTTCTCTACTAACAGATATGATACGATAGAAATTCAAACCTAACTGCATAGAACTGCTGCCTTAATCAAATACAGAAATTTCTGCTACTAGAATCAAAACAACTTTTTTTGATCTTGTTAGATTGAAATGCCTTTGGCACACCGCTGTATTGTTGCTTATAATTTTAATATCATCATTTCTTTCAGAAACCCAGTCAGTGCTGAGATTCAAAGAAAGGTAACTTGACATGATAATACTTTCCGTTGAGATACCTCATAGCTTACCAAAAAAATGCCCAATGTAATAAGCTTAGTTTTGTCAAATTTCAAACATTTTATGATGATAGTTCAACGACATATCAGCAACTGACATATACGGTGGAAACCAAATACATAAAGAAAAACCAAATGAAACGAATTTAAGTGGATTTCCTCCCAGACTTTACGTTGCATGAAGCTCTGATAAATATGATGTTGGTTTGCACTAAAATACATTATATTAATTTTCACTGAGCAATAATTACTATTCGCAAGTAAGCTGCCTTTTGTTTGATACAATCCAGAGATTAATTTCCAGTCGAGTAAATTGTCAAAGTTTTCTTTCTTAGTATAATTTTAAATTTTTCATATGAAAAGTGGACCCATTTTCACAATGACCCCGCTCACACTAGCATAGGGCTCCTGTTCACAATGCACCCAAATTATCTGGTATGAAACGCTGCGTCAATCTTTATGAAATTCTCTACGCTCTATATGTCACATGAAAATTACAACAGAGTGGTTTGGGCTCAATGTGAATCCCATTTGTGAAGAATCTCCCTCAACAAATGTGTTTTCGATCACGATTTGCAGCAGAGACATATTTTTATCAACTTATACGTGATTTATAATGTGTGAAACAGCACATTCAAACACATTTCAGTCTCTCACTTTCACATTTTCTGTAATAAACCTGTGTAATTTTTTGCAGTGGAACAAGATTCTACAGCAACAATCATCTGTTCCACTGGTTGTGGAAAATTATGTTGCTGTGAATGAGGACCAGAATAAGAATATTGAGAATAACAGCTTGGCCAGATCAAATACTAACGCGGTTGCTAATGGGGACGTTTCAGATCAATGTAAGTATTTTAGTTTAATGTTTACTTTCGTTAGGAATGATTCGCATTGCTGCGGATCCCTACTTTTCGCAATTATCCAAAATTTCGCTCACTGAGGTTTTGATGAATCCTAACTAGCACAACCCCTACTCAGATATGAAGCTGCTCATACGTTAGTTTATTCATTAAAACAAGCATCTTGAAATAAAATAGCACAAACCTTAGTCAACCAGAGATGTATAAATTGGGGGTGTCCATGAAGTTACCACCCTCCCCCCCCCCCACCAATCATCGACAAACTCTAATTTTTTGGGCAAAACCTAAACCAGTCATGCTGTTCGTTGGGCAAGAAGAGCTTTGTATTCAGCAATAAACCAGTATTCGTATCATGTTTGTTTTCCCGTTTGTGCAAAAGGCTTTGTCTGACAAAATGCGATCTTTTTTACCAACATTCCCTCGTGACCTTCATCAATGTGCTGGCCGATGCTCAAGCTATTCATTAGAAATTTAGTCACGCGACTGGACCTGTTTTCTACTGTAGAGCGTTGAAAAACCAAAGGGAAGTTGGCAAACTAAAAACAACATCAACCTCTTTTAGTATTGAGGTGGCATAAATCAGCAAAAAATAGATCATAGATAAGCAAAAATTGTTTTTGGTAACTCAATAAACAAGAACTTATTTGTGGCAGCGACAGCTGAGTACATGGCAGGCAACATTGCTTAAGATTAAAGAAGATGTAGCAAGATGAAAATAATTGAAATTTGCCTTTGATCCACAATGAGCAGTGACAGACTGTTAGACTCCTTTCTCAATGAAATCTAGGGCCAAAAAAATTTAAAGTTAAACTCAAAAATTCATAATTTTATCTTGTTGTAGCATGACTGTTTTGTTGGTACTTCTTCGTCTGGTGCTTCTTCTTCAACTTTCAGTTTCCTCTTTGTGCTGGTTCTATATTCAGCGAATGATTAAAGGCATCCGACATGCATAAGTACAGCAAATCCAAAATAACTTAGGCCAAATTGACCAGAGCACGCTCGCATAGAAGAAATTGAAAAATTCTTCACGTGAAACCACTGTGTGCTGCTCTATGATTTCACTAATTTGTAGACAAGCGGAACTGTTCACATGTTTCTCTCTGTGCTAAATTTGATTGATCAACTGCTAGTGGCCGAGCGGCTGTGTGCCTTTAAATGCTTTTACCTGCGTCAAATGCCTTTAAATGCTTCTTCATTTCAAATTTGTATATAGTTCAAACATAGCAATGAGTTTGTCTAAAGGTTTAAATTTTGAAATCTCAAAAAATCAAGAAATACAAATAAATTTCGGATGCATGCTTCATAATATTATGCGAAGCGACGGGATAGAGCTAGAGCTTAGAAGGCTAGGGGGTTTAGCCTCCCTTATCAATCATCCTTCACTTTTGAGCTTATTTTTCCAGAAAAACCACTCGACTCTGACGGAAGATTTATATTGATTTTCATAACTGTATTTATATATAAAGCTTTTATAATTCAGTACGTTTTCTGTGAATAATGGATTGCCAATACTCATACTACCTTTGATATTGGATTCCGCTTTGACATAGGAAGGTAAATATTTGATTAGATTGCTCTAACAATTTAGTTTCATGGGAAAATAATTGACTGTCGGCATTATTCATTTCACCTTATTGCGATGCAAATTTGCCATGAATTCCAAAACAAGAGGGTCTGTGCGAATGATTAAAAAGAGATATGTCATTGGTCCCTGCAGAATGGTGATTAATTCGAAATGTCAAATAAAGCAGGCATTCTAGATAATCAAAAAAAGCATGTAAACTACATGCTAAGTCTTTGCTAGTGGTTTTCAATATGGATGATGAGAATTTGTAAAAGCAATTTTCTTTGATTTGTTAATTAGACTCATTAGTAGAAGGCTGGAAGTGTAAGGCCTGGCTCAAACTTCGCACTTCTCATGTGCCGAACCTAACTCTGTTTGGAGCGACACTTAAGCATGTTTAGCGCGACTCCCGTTTCAAACGTCGAACTTAATGATGTCGCGCCAAATGGGTTTTAGGATTGCTACATGAAGTATCTTAGTTAAGGCACGCAATCTCAAATATTTGTTTGAAACGCATGCGCCCTCCAAGAAAGAAATGAATTCTGGGAAGGAAAATAAATTAAATATATTTATGCATTGAGCTTGGTACATGACAAGTTCGACGCTTGAAACCGTACCGTGCTGGAGCCGTGCAGTTCGGCAAGCTCTGCCGATCCAAACTAGTCTGCCGCTCCTAACTAAATCTGCCGTACCAAGTTGATTCAAACGTCGCGCCCCTCATGTACTTAATTCTCGAGTTAGGTTTGCCACATGAGAAGCGCGAAGTTTGAACCAGGCCTAATATAACTACACGCTGATCCTTTGCAGTACTGGGTATTTGCGGTCTTTACAAAATGACTTCACCATCTTGAGCTAACTTTATGTCATTGATTAATCAATGATTTAGAACTGCTTCAACAGTGCACCAGTCACAAAGACTCAATTTTAGGGCTAATTTCTACTCAATGTCATTTTCGACGATTTTGTATAAGACCACGCAGGAATGGAAGATTTGCAAATATAAGACAGCTTTTACCTCATTGAGGCCAATTTCAAACCCCGAGAATGATAGGTGAATTTCTATCAAGAATCCATTGGACTAACCTCAAATTAATGTTTAAAATATTTTTGTCGGGCAGTTTCAGTAAATGTCGAGCAAATAATTTTGACACTAAAAGCAAAAGAGGTAGTTACGCGACTGTATCAACATATTGCATACATTTTTCAGTTAGTTTACAAATGTTTTCTATTGAAAGCACCCATTGCTTCAATAGCCTAAGACATTTAGCAGCTTTCCTTTGCCAACCGAATTTGTTGTTTACAAATCCTAACTTTTAGAACAAAACCTTTTATCGATATAACCGAATCTGAAATCTTGTGGATAGGAACAAGTGGAACTAAAATTTTGTACGACCTTCACACATCATTTCACTAACAGTTTCTTTAACGTCATTTTGACACAGGTAATTAATTATTCATCTATTTGGTCGAATCTTCCCCCAACTGTGATGTAAATTTGTATCATTGGCCAATCAGAAGCTAGTGATAGTGAAAATGCTAGTAATTTCGTTGCGTGTGATGGAATGAGATACGACTTTCTTCGACTCTTTTGTAGGTGACAATGTTGAAAAAATGATACGAGAGGATGGCCTTTTAAATGTTATGAAGACAAATGTTGCAGATAGAAGAAGAGTGCAGAAGCAAAACCCTGCCTTTCGGGAGGTTTCAATGTTTATCTTTACGCAAGAAAATCCGTAAGTTTAGTTTATTGATCAAAACGGTTATTGGTTCACATGAATACTTTTCAGTTGTAAGTTGTGATTCCAATTTCTTTCAAATTAATTTGAAATAGATTTAATGATGGAGATTGGACATTGGAAAACCTTTTATAACAGTCATATTTTTTATACCAATTCAATATTCTTAACTTTTAAATTCTTTTAGCCTCTTTTTTTCTGAAATGCTTGGCTTTCCTTTTTTTAGAATTCGACGATTTTGCCATGCAATCGTTCATCACAGATTCTTCGATCCTTTTATCATGGGAGTCATTTTTGTCAGCTCATTGACCCTTGCTATAGAAGACCCTTTGAATGATGAAAGCAAGATTAATCAGGTAATGTTGAATCGATTCCTCGTCAGTTATCTAATCAATTCGTAATATTTACCAAGATCTAAAAAATATAGCAAGAATTTCATTTTCTATTTACTTTTACTGGAAATTCTAATCCAGACTTGTCCATTTTTCAAAGTGCATTTTATAACCATCAAATTATAAGCTAAACATTTAAAATGGTAAAGGCAAAATAAACGTTTAAGCTAGCCATAGAAGGTAATCAGCCACTCATTAAAATTCTCCTTCTCTTCTATCTTAGGTGCTAAAGTACTTTGATTACGTATTTGCCGCGATATTTTCATTAGAAGTCATTTTGAAGGCAAGTGGAAATATTTTGAGTAATTTTATATTTTTTTCTAAAAAACCAAACAACATGCTGAAACATTCTTAATATTATATCGAATAAATTATATATTTTATTTATATCAAGTATGGCTTAGATAAATATTTGTTCATTCTAATGTCATGGCGTAAATATGTATTTACATAACTGCTTTTTTGATGATTTGAATTTTGTTGCATCTTGTGAATGGTTGTTAAAACTTACCAAATCTTCAATATCTAAAGCAGAAGCTTGAAAGTTAATTCTGAATTCACAGCTTTTCCAATTTGCAAATCAAACTGCTTCTTGCAATTAAACATGAAAACTTTAAAAAAAGTTTCATCAGAAATATCCAGAAAATTGATTAATTTGTATTAAATTTTAGTTCATCGATATTGGTTTGTTTCTTCACAAAGGCGCTTACTTCAGGGATTTTTGGAATATCCTTGATTTCTTCGTTGTTGCATGCAACATTGCATCTATCGTTGTGAGGTTAGTATTTGATCAATTTTCTTTATTTCATCCTTATCTTTACATGGGTGCTTCTGCTACAAGAAGAAATTCAAATAATCTTTTCACAAACAGCAATCTAATCGAATGTTTTAAAGTTTTTTAAATAGTTACTTATATATCTAAATATTCGATTGATTAACATACCATGTGCTTGAATGAGAAAAAGCATTAGTAAGTAAGTTTAGTAAGCAGCGTCTATGTGGCGAAATTTTATTTCATGTTTTTTTAAGAGTTATATTTTCTCATCTTTTCCGATATGTTTGACACCAAAATTTTCAAAATTTGACCAGCGAAAGTGTGTTTAATCAGAGTTTGAAATTAGGTAGTACTTGCAAAAATCAAGGCCAGTTTGTGACGTCACAATGATGAGTCGGGTCGACAACTGCGATTGTACATAATAGGCATTCGTTTAATGCGCTCGTATAAAAGTCAGTTTTGTCTGTCAATTTTTAAATATTTTAGTGTACATCGGAACAACGATAGGCGTAGACACTGACAGTAAATAAACAAGCCATCGACAAACGTGTCTTTTCCGGCCTTTCTCCAATCCAGCGAGTCCTATTTACCGTGTGGAGAACACGGAGCCAGACAGAGAGAGAAAGAGAGAGAGAGAGAGAGAGAGAGAGAGAGAGAGAGAGAGAGAGAGAGAGAGAGAGAGAGAGAGAGAGAGAGAGAGAGAGAGAGAGAGAGAGAGAGAGAGAG